AGCCGGCTCAAAAATCCACCCCCGACTAGTGATGGCCGGGTCGGGCTTCAAGCCCAAGCCCAGGCTTGGGTCAGGCTTTCAAGCCCGACCCAGGCCCGACCCAAGGTAGGGCTCAAGTCGAGCTCAGGGTCGGGCTCAGCTTCTGAGCAGACCCGTGACCCGGGCTTGGGCCCGGGTCTCTTTGAGTTAGCCCGAGTTCAAATTCTTCAAAGGAATTCCACTTTTACTGAACCATCCTTGCTCAAATCTCAGGTTAAATCTGATTTCTACTTGAAAGAGATTTACTTGTCTATGTTCAACCATGAAACATAACATCTCGACATTTGATGGGTATGCCGCATTCAGACTTGTGCTTCAAATGGCCCGCCAGGACAGCAATTTTGGGAATTCCACAGTCTGCGAGGGGTCCTGTCGAGTGAGAAACCCGTTGTATAACGCTGAAGGAGTTTGAAAACTCACCATAGATCAGTTGGAAAAAATGCAGCCAAGCCTGGGCCTGAGCCCAAGCCCGACCCGACCTGGGCCCGACCCTTTAAGTCGGGTCGGGCTCAGGATTTTTCGAAGCCCAAGCCCCCCAAGACCCGACCCAGGCCCGGGCTTTCAAGACCCGACCCGACCCGGCCATCACTACCCCCGACGCGTCAACGACGCGTCAATTTGTCTCTGATTTGGTTCGCGTCAAAATTGAAGCCACGCCATTTTTGGCACCGGTGCCGGGTCTACCTATCCTGGTCAAAGCGGAGCCCCAGGTCGCGGGCGTGCTCCATGCTTCTGCCGATGTCAAGATGCGCTTTAGACGAGGGCGGCCGCGAGGTTTTTGAACTCTTTCGGATTCAGAACCCGAGGCCAACGACCAGGGTCAAATCTGGAGGTGATGGAGGTACTCCAGCGTACCTCTCGATCGTCCAGCGCAATCGCTCTGCCTGGTGCGTCGAACAGGTTCTCGGCGATAATTCACTCCGCAGAGCCAGATGCACGTTCTGAGCCCTCGGATGGTATGTAAAATATTTTTAGCTTCCTCATTTTCTTCTGTTATATTGTCTGAATCCCCTGATTTACAGTGGTGTGTGGCTGAGACGGTGGAATTGAGTGTACAGGCGTCTCTAAATCACAAAATCTGTTACTTGACTTGTCCCCACTTTATTCTTTGTACAACTGACGGTTAGAATTGAGTTATAGCCATCCTTCCGAAGGGCCATGATTGGAGGAAAAGGATGCTTACGCTACATTTGACAACAATGATCTATGTCCTCACCAATATGTTGCGTTCATGACCGAGCCCAATAACCACAAGTAGCGAGAATATAAGAGTGCCGTCAACTGTGTTGTGGCAAAGCTATCAGCCTCACGACAGCTCCGGATTCAGAAAGTAACGCAGCAGACATGGCTATCACCGGCGAGATTTATCGCCAGGGTTTTCCAAACTCCGCGAAACCCATGCTCAGCTATGGTATACCATTTGGCGAGGCTTGCAGGAAACATGCTGAGGAACATGGAGTCAAGAAATCTACATCTTGGCCTCTGGGACACTCTCTCGCAATACAAACTTGGTTCAGGACCTGAAGAGGGCCCTCGATGGCATGGTCGTGGGCGAACGCATCGGTATGATGCCACACACTCTAGTAAGCGAGGTCGTCGAAGTCGTGCACGACGTCCGCCGGACTGGAGCAGACTGCATCGTCACTCTGGGAGGGGGGTCCCTTTCGGACGCTGCCAAAGCCATCACCTTTGTACGTCTTTTCCTAGCTCCTAGCCATGCAAGTATGAGATGGACGAGGACAAGGCTGAGGTAAACGATGTTCAGACACGCGAGGACCTCCTGAACCTGCCACACATGATGGCCAAAGACCGTCCCAGCACGCCCACACGTATGCCTTATATCCTGATCCCTTCAACGCTCTCGGGAGGCGAGTACAGCAGCTACTCCGGCGTCACCGACGAGCAGACCAACATTAAGTACCAGCTGTGCAACCTGGCGCCCGCCGATGTTGTTATCCTCTCGGGCGAGCTGGCGGCCACGACACCCGAGGACGTGTGGATTGCTTCGGGTGGGCGAGCCATCGACCACTGCTGCGAGAACCTTTGCACCTTCGAGAAGGAGGAACCATGGGCGGTGGTCGAGAAGGCGCAGATCGACGGTCTGAAGCTGTTGGTACCGAACCTGTTCAAGACGCTCGAGGACCCACGCGATGCCACGGCACGATTCAACTGCCAGTTGGGCGCTGTGCTCTCACTATTCGGCTTGCAGTACCATGTCTACCCGGGATGCAGCCACGGTATCGGCCACATTCTCGGACCTAGTGAGTCCTGCGTTCGGCCGTACGTCAAACCTGACACAACCACATAGTGGGCGTTTCGCATGGGAAAACAAGCGCAGTCCTCATGCCCGCTGTGCACAAGTACAACGCCTCTGTCAACGAAAAGGACCAGTCCCTCGTGCGCAGCATGCTCTGGTCCATCCCCGAAGCCGCGGACCTCTTTCAGACGCGCGGCCTGCAGCGCAACGGGGCCAACCTGGACGATCTGCTGGACGCGGTCGTGCGCAGGCTTGGGATGCGGCGCTCGCTGACCGAGGTGGGCATCACGGGCGAGGAGAAGCTGCAACAGCTTGCAAGGAATAGCATGGCGGACCCCTGCGTGCACACGAACCCGCGCAAGATAGAGAGGCCCGAGCAGGTGCTTGAGATTTTGCGGATGTGCACGTAGGCTCGTATGGGCAGGCTGAGGATCGACCTATCGAGTAGCGTTGAACGAATAATACACAGAACAGGAAATACAACACCTAAAACTGAACTATTAGGGTCGTTCACAACAGCCACGTTTTGCTCAATTTTTTGTTCTCGATTTTCTCGTGTCAGAATAGGCTCGTGATCAGCCTGCCTGCGAGTGGCCCAAATTTATGGCAAGCACCTGTCCATCCCATTGCCCGCCCTACTACCCAGCGCTCGTGGATAGAATTCATCCTCCTTGAATGATGCGTTCCACTATTCACGCGTATGCACCCTTCTACTCCTACTGAAAATAAACTCGGTGCGTCCCACCCCTCCAAGTCTTTGGACCGCTTTTCTTATGTACTTTCATGCCGAATTCTCCATATATCAAAGCTCGAGGTACGTCAGTCGCTTCTGTCCCCCCCCCCCTGTGGTATTCATGCCTTCGCGCCTGTGCACAATTCCTGGGATCTGCATTGGGCCATCGACTGCTGCTTGTCGCGGTATCGCACTTCAAGTTCTCTCCTCAGTCTTTGCCCGTCTTTCTGCGTTCCGGTGGTTCTGCTGCTGATGCGTCCTGCAGTGCGTCCTGTCTATTGTAATCACGTTAGGTGTGAGTTCCTAGTACTATAGTTCTCCAACTGTCCGCGGCGCTTATTTATTCTCTCGTCGCTGTCAAATTAGATCCCATTGTGGTGTCAAATTGGCTCTCATCGTCATTCATTGCGCTAACATCGTCTTCCTGCGCGGAAACAAATGTTGCATGAGCGGTATTGTCTTCGCTTTCATTAGCTATCCTCTCTCGAAGTTTCCGCCGGCGTAGTGTTTTCACCGGAAACTGGTTGAGCCATTGTTCCTGTCTGCGTCCAAATACTGCTCTGCACCTCCCACCTTCTTAAGTGTCTCACCACTCCGTCCTGTGAAGTGTCGTGCTTACAAGTACGTCCATAACTCTGCTTGAGTTCCCCTTTATTTCATTCCCCTTGATGTTGCCCAACAACTAAATTCCCGTTGCATTTCAGGATGTACAGTATCTTCGTCTCTGGGCCTCGTTTGTGTTCTTCAGTCACATCAATAAAATAGTTTTCTGAATTCTGCGACCTCGGCCTTGAGTCTCCTATTATTCTGCGCCCGAACTCTGAAGAACAGCATTGTCGCCTCAACATCGGCGACTCGATTTCCAGCAACAGTACCCACGGAGATCGCCGGAAAAAATAGGCTCACTCCTGTTTAGCTGCCGGCGGAGATTTGTTTTCGATCATCCACTGAGTTTGTACCCACAGAGCGCGCTAACGGCGCTCTCTTGCTTTCGTGCCGCCACCATCTCCGGGCGACGACTGTTTTCTCTGAGTCTATTGTGCTCTTGTCTTCGCGGTTTCGGCTCTGGGGATACACTATGGATTCTCGGCTGTGCTTTGCCGGTTCTGAGGGCTACTGCTGGACTTTCGACGACGCCTTGTGCTGCGGCTGTTTTGACGTAGGAACGACCCATTCGAGCCATCATTTCGTGTGTAGTTCTCCTGTGTCATATTGTCGTCGGCTCAAGGCCATCTTTCTTCTCTTTCTTTTCCCCACTGCCTGGACCCACTAACGTCGACCTTCCCACTGGTTTCGGCCTCAAGCATTGTAGTCATATCCTAGGGCATGCGTCCGGAGCTCTAGTCTTCAATACTTCTCCTCAAGCATCAAGCTGCCACAAACCCCCAAGACACTCGAGCTTCAAGTCGCTCAAACCTGACTATCTGTGATCCGAGAACCTGGGCCCAGGTTCTCGGAAAAGACAGATATGGTGCTCGGTGCACAGCGGCTCTTTTTACAGCGAGGCCCGACATCTAATGTAAGTCGCAGACCGGGGTTCGACTCCCCGCGCCCTAAATTCGAACTCCTATCCAGACTTTTTTAGCAAGGAGCAGGCACAGGGTTGATTCACAGAGGGTCCTCAGTTTGACTCGCAGAGGGTCCTCATTCACTGGGTTCGCAGGCCGGGGCTCGACTCCCTGCACCCCAATTGTCAATGTCCCAACGCTGTACTTTCTACGAGGAGCAGCCGCAGTTCAACTACCACAGGTCCTTGTTCACTGACTTATTTGAGTTGGTTGCTAGCCGGATATTGCGTGTGGTGCACAGCGCACGGTGGCTTCATTTATCAGCGATGAACAAAGATGTAAGCCGCAGCCCGCGCACCCGCCCTACGCAGTTGATCATTTTTCCAGTTCTCGATCTTTTCACATTCACGTTCAACCCAGAGAATCAATTTCACTCAGGAAACTCCCATCTAAAAGCTAGGAATCGGGTGTGGTGCACGGTGCACATCGGCTTCATGCGAGAGTGGAGATAAATAAACTAAGCCGCGAAACGGGGTTCGACTCCCCGCGCCCGACATTTGGAATTCGCTAGGTACCTTTTCTTTTTCCCTCTCCGATATATACTTGCATGCAGGGTATCACTTCCTCCAATTTGGAGGATGACCACCCTACGATGATCGCATATCGTCGCAGAATATTCAGTTGGAATGCGCAATAACCATTTAACCAGTCTTAGTTGGAATGCGCAATAACCATTTAACCAGTCTGGTTAAATGGTTATTGCGCATTCCAACTAAAATGCAATCCCGTGATAACGGGTACTTAAACATTCGCGCTGCTTTGCTGAAAGCACAAGCCCGCTGGCCAGCTGGGAGCAATTATTGGCTAATCCATCATGGTACTCTGTCGCCTGTTCCGTTGCTAGCGGGAATCCGGGTAATGCCCGTCCGCGGTCCTGGGGATCGAACCCAGGGATCAGCAGTCCATTACGTGATGAGATCACGGGATTGCATTTTAGTTGGAATGCGCAATAACCATTTAACCAGACTGGTTAAATGGTTATTGCGCATTCCAACTTATTCTTGCACCTTCAAACACGCACGAAAGCGAGCCCCAATCCACCAACTGTATTTCATGGATATGAATGGGGTGCGGTGCACGGTGCACATCGGCTTCATGTGAGAGTGGAGATAAAATAAATTAAGCCGCAGAACGGGGTTCGACTTCCCGCGCCCGACAGTTGGAATTCACTAGGTACCTTTTCTTTTTTCCCTCTCTGATATCTACTTGCACGCTCCTTCGACTCAGAGGATGACTCGCACATAGGTCGGCATCGTCACAGAATATTCTTGCACCTCCAAACACACACAAAAGCGAACCACACTTCACTGCCCGAGCTTCACAGCTAGGAATCGGGTGTAGTGCACGGTTCACAACGGTGGCATTTAAAGTGTTAAGCTGAATAATGAAGCTGCAGACCGGGGTTCGACTCCCCGCACCCGAATGGGTCCTGTTCATCGCTGGTTGGTTTTTACCTCTCCTGAAGGACCGCTTCGTACTTAACTAGCCCAGCAGTTTCTTCGTACTGTGTTAATAGGAGGTGATTTCTTTTTTTTTTTTTTTTTGCGGTGCTTAGATTGTGACTAAGAGCTCATAAGGAGCCCCCCTTGGGTCTAGGCTTTCGCCCCCTTTTGGGCCAACATTGGTTCGTCAGTCACAATCACACAAAGGAGTCTTTCGGGGAACGTGACCCGAAATAGTTGTTGCGTGACTCCACGCCAGGAAGGAATGCCTTTACGCAGACCATTGTCTTTTATAGACGGTACTGTGGGACTCGGCTGACACGCAATACCCACTAAACCTCCTGATGGTTGATGCGGGACTCAAACCCGCGGCCGTGTCCGAACGGCGACCGGCACATTGGCTCGGCCGGATCAAATGGCATATCCACACAGCCATCTGATCCCATTGGAGTGGTTTCACCGGGTTCGAACCCTCGCGGAACCCGGGACTTCAAAAATCAATCAGAAGTCAGGACAGCATGATTAACCACTCCGCCATGCCGTCCCTAAGAGGTGATTTCTGACCCAGAATAATAGGAATTAGGCTGAAGAATTTGTTGAAGAAAAAACCATTAAACCAAGGTGTAACAAACATGAGTTGGCATTAGGCACGTTTCTGTGGCCACGGACCCACGAACCAAGGCGGCACTTATCGCTGTGCGCCTCAAGGGGCGACCACTAAAATTATTCCTGAAATTGGGTGGTACTATGCCTAGTTGTTTGGTTTTTGATGCATGTGATTGAGCCATCAACGGCCATCAATTCCATCAGCGCGTTAATGGGAGACGCGTTTCTGGACGCGTATGGACATTCAGCATGCAGCATAAATAGTGTGGCTTCTTTCCCATCGGTGTCAAGACACAAGAATGAACTATAAATCAGCCAGCATTGCATCCAAGACTTCGCCATCGACCAATGTTCCAAGTATCTGGTGAACCCCAGACTATCTGGAAATACAATCCAATGCATCATATTGTTGCTGAGTATTCATTGCCCGACAACACTCTACCACCAATCCTCCCTTCATTTATGTGAGACTTGTTCATCTGGAAGTCTGAAGAAGATGCACTAGGAATTGCGGAAACCTAGAGAGACATCTGGCGACGAAACTATCGATTCCCAGACAGGGATGCAATTGATATGCTACCTGGCTCAGACGACTCTTGTCTCATTAACGCGCTGATGGAATTGATGGCCGTTGATGGCCCAATCACATGCATCAAAAACCAAACAACTAGGCATAGTACCACCCGATTTCAGCAATAATTTTAGTGGTCGCCCCTTGGTGCGCCTTCCGCGACCTCATGCATCAAGGTAAGCAAATACATCTTATTCTTCCATTCAATGGAGCACAATGACCCTTCAGTGTCCGGGACGGTGTACAACCCACCCCACGGCTCCGCGGACTGTGGCGAGTGACTGCGCCGCTGCGTGCAAGATCTCTGATCCGAAGCCTCCAGGCTTGGAGAGGAGGAAGATATCAACCAAAGAACTGGCACAAGGTCTTGCAGTGGTCCAGCAACGAACAAACAGTGCAACCATTGAATGTTGGAATGTCCTGGCAACCAGACATAATTTCACAAAAATCCAAAGCCTCAAAATCACTGAAGCGCTCACAGATTGATATACCCGATGGTTTGGCCCAATCTCCAAATAAAAAGGTTCGATCTGAAATTGTGGTACGAAATGGGAGCAATGCCCAAAAGCCTTATATGGGACTCTGTCAATTAAAGTTGCGGATATGATGCGTTGTTCACGATATTATTTGATGTATGGAAAGGTAGTCCTACAAAATGGCATCAGAGTTTCGGGACGAAGACTGAGATCATGAAGAAACTCTCTGACGGGTTCTTACAAAGTACAACTCGGGCTGTGTCCTTAGAGAGTGTCAGGGATCAGGTCAGAGTTGACTTGAATATTAGCTCCCCGTACAACTTCCCATATGGGCCCCGTGGCATATCTACTGGCAACCTATGTGAAGCCATCATAGGCCGAAATAGATTCTGTGCAACTCGAACAAAGACTTGCCTGCGATGCATGCATGCTGATCCCCAGGAGGTTGGCTGCTTCAACGAATTTCACTGCCTTGAATATCAAGAAAGTTTGGATGGTTTGGTGTTGAAAGACAGAATATCGGGTGATTTATCCGGCGGAACACACACATGGTGCCCAGAATGCCGCCATCGTAATGAGGCTGTTGAGATGCAATGGGTCCCAAGGCTACGAAGGATACCCGATCTTCTCATTGTTAGCATCCAGCAGAGCGGGTCAAAATTACCTCTAGAGCGCAAGCTGCGTTTTGATTTCAATAGAAACACCAAGATTCTTTTTTTAAGGGGAATAATATACTATGGAGGTGTCCACTTCACTTCAAGATTTATTGGCTTGGATGGTCGGATATGGTACCACGATGGAATCGAAACTGGTCGAGCATGCATTGACGAACATTACCTGGATATTCATGCAGCGGATTTCCTGGACTTTTGCAGAGGAAGGATCTCAGTTACACTTGTATATGCAGATGTCTCTGGATGACTAATTGACAGGGACAGAATTTCCTCTGCTTTCAAATGCCAGGGGAAAGGGGGGGAGGCCCCGGGAGGGGCTGGAGAGGGGCGGCGTGTGGAGGATGTATATGTTATGATATACTGTGGTCATCCTACAATATATGCCTAGTTAATACAATCACTCTGTGTTCATTAAGTGTGTCCCAAGACATGTCCTCGTATCTGCCATGCGCAGCAATGGTCCCACAAGCCCAAGTAATGTGTTAGGGTAGAAATGTCGAGGAGGTACATGTACACACCATTGTAAGCCCCAGAGCGACGCTCTTCGCAAGGTCATCTTTGAACGCGGCTGCGAGAGGGCCTTCGGCGGTCTTCCAATAAGGTGGTGTATGTCTTCAGCGTCGATCTCCAGGTGGAATTTGTACGTAACCGACCATTTTCATACGCGATAAAGCGGCTCAAGGACGCAGAAGAAGAGACACCCTCGATCCGTAGCACGTTTGGATGCCTAACGACACAAGTCAGATGCTACTTAACAGAGTGGTGCGCACATAAGCCCTTTTGATAGCGCCACCGTCGATTCCAGTTGCTTCAGTCCGTCAGAAAAGATAGCGTGCCGATAATATTAGAATAACTCTAGAACAGTTGGGCCCCCATCGAAGACTTTGACGATAACTGCTCGACCCTTGGCCTCTCCAGCGTGGAGAAGGTATCCGGGGCCGCTCCCAATCTCAAGTTTGAGTTTGAGGTACTTGTTGCGAATGACCTGTTAAAATATCAAGATCTAAATCGCCCTTTTCCCTGCGTGGTAGCCTTTACGGACTTTAATTCCAGCGTGTCGCCGACATTTAGGCAAGGGCTCTGTCGATGACAGCTCCGGCACGTCTGGCGAGAGGGGCTGTTTCAGTACGATATCTGCTGTAGACCAGCGAAAATCCACTTGTGTTCTTCTCTCCATGGCGCTTTCTCCCGTAGATGTGGTAGTTGACGATGTTGTTCAAGTTGCCGCAGATATTGTTGTAGGCACCGTCTCCTAGAGTGACATGGTCTGTGTTTGAGATGAATGACCATACTGAGGGCGGGGAGAGTCGTTGCGCGCTGGTCGTGTATTAGGGTCCGCTGACAATTCCACTTTGAAGAAAATAATTGATTGTCAGTCAGAATGTCAGGCTGACTGCCAGGACCGACAGATGACAATTAACAATTGCCTATTTTGGAATTACTAGCTATTTTACGAACTATCACTCCCAGTTGGCTGCTTGCGGCGCTGTAACGGGCTGGGGCTGCGAATTTCCAGTCTCCTTAGTCGCCACGTCGTCACCTGTGACTGACAGCAAGCCCTTCAATCCGGGGGCCCTCAACATCACATCCTTGTCGACAACAAATACGGCGTCAGATCTGAAGGTCTTCTTTGTGTTTTTCTTGTATCTGTGTTTCATGCGTGATATCTTGGCCCTGAGAGCTTCGGGTAGCTTCTCAAGCTCCTCGTCGTCTCGTTCGTTCATTT